CCCCGGCAGGAATTGATTATGTATGACCCACCCATATATTGTAACATCCTTGAAAACGGTATAATGTACTATGAGGTTATTACGAGGATACCGAAAAGTATGCACGAAGACAGTACAGCGGCAGTATTGAACGACGCGCAGCAGAGGTCGATGCGACGGCGTATTGTCTGAGTGCATAGTATGTGGTATCCTCGCAACAACCTTATAATTATACATCTTTTCCTTCCAATGATACATCATGGGAATGCCGAACTCCAAAAAGTTTAAAACAGAATTAGCGAACTTTTTTGTGTGGAGTCCAGTCAGACTCTGGTGGCAGCCATGCTTGTCTTTATTATTAGAGGTCACTTGCACGTAATCATTCCATATTTACAATTTGCATTTCCTAATATGGTAGGATGAAAATACCCCATGAAATACCGCAAAATTACGGCACGCTGTAACTTATGTCGTTACTGTGACAGATGTATAAAGATAGTAATTATTGAAGTACTTACGTGTGGAATCAGATGCAATAACGCATCAGCAGACATGGTACTCACGGATAGTGCTATCAATGTTTGCATTAACTTATTATAAAATGTCTTGCCTATAACTGGTATTGTTAATATTCCTAAGAAGGAACACAAACAAATGACGAGTACTGCCACCGTGCCATAAAGAAACACTGTAAAGCGAAGAAAATTCTTTATGTTATAAATGTATCTACCGTCACCGTATGTTGCGCCCTCTACCATCAATTTTGTTTCTTCGTCCGGGACATCATCAACATAATATTGGAGTAATTAACAAAATAATTAACTCCATTGTGACAACTATCGTTGTTCTGATCTAATTGAAACCGACAAAAAGCATCGTCGGGATAGCAATGTTTCACGAACTTGATGTGAACACATAACTCTATGTTAACTCCATGTAGTTGTTTTTCGATCGACACTTTCTATGACACATGAAAAATACAAGTTTAAAATACTCCTCCAACAACCAGGATAAATAAACGAATAAACGTACATGGCTGAAGAAAATGATGAAAACATATACTCCCGTATACTTGTTGTATGTCAGTATGGATTCATCATTGAAGCACAGTGTCCACAGTACAGAACGTATTTAAGTTGTCGAAGTTCTAGTTCTTCGACACTCCTTGACTAGTCCCGATCAATTACGCGGTGTGTGCAGACTACTATTTCAGATATTTCTCCATTATTAAATTACCGTTATTCTCACGACTATTAAATGACGTCACGTTACATATACGATACATATCTCATAGCATAAACATAATTTAGTGTACTTACTCTCGGCCGAGGCGGATTCGATTGGCTCAGATTCTGGATGGCATACACCACTGAGTATTTGTTGTAGCAATGAAGGACTCATCTCTAAAAACTCGTCTTCGTTTGCACCAATTGTGTGATTAATACTGAACATACCGAATAGTTCACTCGCACTGTAACACTGTGAAATTATTTGAAATACGTGAATCGTTGTAGCTATGGTTATGGTTTATATGTATGCAACTCTCATATTTGAATATTTTTGATGTGCACACAATTATAAACGATAATTATATATATACAAACAAACTTTGTGTTACGTGGAAAAAAACTATAATAAATAAAACAATAAAAACTGACCCCGTGAGATGTTTTGTATGCCACGTCGTCTTCTTCTGCCTCCATGGTATTGTACGAATCTTGAAGATTCAAGTCACGTCTCTGTCTGTGAATCGATAGGCTGTGGCTATGCAATTCCTCCTCTTCTCCGATACCAAGATCCTCCAACATATGTTCCAACGCTGAAAGCGAATATTATGAATATGTATCATCTGGTCCACGTGGGAATCGAATCGGAATAATTTAGAGGAATGCACCCACGGATAGCGACACAGACATGCAAGTATATAACTCAAATAGTAAAATTAAACGACGAGACACTATTATATAATAATAAAATGTTGCAGTTGGTAAATGACACAGAGAATTGCTGCAACACCTATAAAAACGAAAGCAAACTACGTGCGTTCCAGGCCGTAATGGGCGGTGTGTTAAAACATTCGAATCAAGTAACACTTACAATGCAGGGATATGTAACCATCTTCTCCATATACTTTAAATATTTCCCACAAAAAGGAATCAGTATCTATCTTTGATGGTTCGCCAATGCAGTACCCAAACACTAGATACGACACGGTGATTGTCGACAGTTCTGCTAATTCGTCGGCATCCGCCCCGATTTTGTGATTGGCCATTGTGGATTCATTGTAGGCGCTCTCTGCTGTAAAACACTGTACACAAAACAAACTTAGCATACTGCCCTGGCTACTTGTAAATCAAAGACAGAAAGTATCCTCATACTGTGATGTATAAATCAGTTGTTAAAAGACTAATCCGAGAAAAGAACTCTTTATAAAATTTATAATAA